GAGGTGAAGAACGTAAGAATGGGGTGAGGAGGTTAGAACATATAAAAGAAAAAAGTATAGAACTATCCCTTTAGAGGAGATTGGAGAGGAGGGGATGGAAGCAGATTCTGGGGAGGAAAATGAGTTTGAATTGATGATCGATGAGACCCATCTAGTTGAAAAGACTGCTAACATTGAGGAAGTGGTGAATAGGGGAGTGAAAGTTGGCAAAATATTGGGTCTGTTTTTTCCAGGAGGGGAGGAGTTCACAAAAAAAAAAGCCTTTAGACCTGTGGAGAAGCCAAAAGAAGTGGTTGAGGGGTTGGTGGTTGAAGATAGGGGTCAAAATCTAGTAGGGAATTCTGAAGCATCGGTGGGAAATCTAAACATAGCTAGAAGATTTAGAAATTAAAGGAATAAAAGATCCCAACAGTAGATCCTAGTCTCTAAGGTTTTCATGAGGTTAAAGGATGGATTATTTGGAATGGAACCTAACAAGCTCGTCAGAAAACCCTAAGGATCAGTCAAAAAGGACAACAAAACTATACTCAAAAAGTTGAGAAAGATGTTTAAAGTAGCAAGTTGGGGTTTGGGTGTAATGCTTGGATTTTTGTTGGGCTTCAGGCTATTTTGATTTATGGTTACTTCGTCTTTTTACTATATTATATTGTTATATGTAAGAGGCTTTCGTTAGTTGGGTCTTTTTAGTTTGATGGTTGATTTGGGTTTGTTTTGTTCTCATCGGCTTTTTGTTTGGGTTGGCCTTTCTTTCGGGTGATTGCTTATTTCAACAAAATTTTTCTGTTATCTTAAAAAAAAAGGACCTTCGAAATCTCCGGTATTTCCTAGAGATTGACGTTGCAAGGTAAAAAATGGGCATTTATATTTCTTAGAGGAAATATGTCCTTGATTTGCTTCAGGAGGTAGGAAAATTGGATTGTAAACCAACTAAAACTCCAATTGATCCCAATCATAAGTTGGGTGTTGATGATGGATATGTCCTTCCTGACAAAGGTGTGTGTCAAAGACTTGTTGGCTGCCTTTTCTACTTGTGTCTGACTAGACTTGATATATCATATGCTGTGAGTGTGGTCAGCTAATTTGAAGGGGTGTCCAGGAAAATGAATGTTGTATTCTGATCATGTGCATTTGAAGGTTGAGGCCTATTCTGATGCTGACTGGGCAAGTTCTATTGATGATAGGTTGTCTACTTTTGGCTATTGTACCTTAGTGAGTGGTAATGTTGTATCTTGGAGAAGTAAGAAACAATCAGTTGTGGCTCGATCTAGTGCAGAGGCAGAGTACAGAGCTATGGCTCATGGGGTTTCTGAATTGTTGTGGTTGAAGAACTTGTTGACAGAGATGGGAGTGCAGATTGATACTCCAATGATATTATATTGTGACAATCAAGTTGCCATAAATATAGCCCACAATCCTATTAAACATGATCGTACAAAGCATATAGAGGTTGATCGATACTTTATTAGAGAAAGAGTTGCCAATGGAGAGATTTGTTTACCTTTTGTGAGGTTTGAAGATCAGTTGGTTGATTGTCTTACTAAAGGTGTCCCCAAATCAAAGCTTGACAACAATCTCAACAAGCTGGGCATGACAAATATTTATGCCTAGCTTGAGGGAGAGAGTTGAGAATGTAAGGGCATTTTTGTCCTTTTATGTATTTTTGTATTAGGGCACCTATTCAAGGGCCTCTTTGCAATTTTGCACAAATATGTTTAAATGAGAGATTTCTAGGTTTGAAGAGTAACACACCCAATATATTTTCTGAAAATATTTTAACTACCACCAATTTGTTTCACAAAATATGGTGCAGGTACTGTATGTGTGTGTGTGTGCATGGATACATGCTGTGTGCATCTGGCTCATGCTTGTCTGTGCATGTGTGATGTATTTGAGTTCTTTATAAATCTTTTCTTTGTTTTAATTTGGCTTATTTCTTTAACACAGATTTCCTTGTTGATGCATTGGACTATGCCATATCAAAGTTGTGAAGTACCAAGAGCAATGGATGATTCTGTTGCCTTCAACCTCTTTCTCCCACTATTTCTGATCATTTCTTCCTACTAAATGGGTGCACCAAGAGGGTGTGTGGAATAGCTTTTTTTTTGTCTGTGTTTTCAATACTAAAAAAGTGTTTAGTATTGCCCATTTCTGTAAAATTGAAGCACCAATCCATGACTACATAGAGAAACAAAATCCCTAACCTGGTTAGGACTCATGACTGTAGAAAAAGCTAAACAAATATTACTAGAATACAGGATGGAAAGCAATTGGGTGGAAAGTATTCATGGGATGGCAGCTAATGGATGGGATGTTGGCGTCGACCCTAGGGCTTCTCATTTCTCCCCTTGGAAAGCAATTGCTGGAGTCTTGCCTTCCTTTCAGTCTTTCATCAGATTTGATGTGTGCTCAGGTAATAAAATTCTGTTTTGGGAGGACCTTTGGCTTGGGAACACCCCCCTTAAGGATAGATTCCCGATAATGTATCTCTTTCCCTAAATGAATTCAAAACCATCTCCTCACTTCGTGTGTCTGAGGGGACTTGGGATTTGGGTTTGAGAAGAGGATTGAGGGATTCAGAATTGACTTCTGCAGATGAGTTATTCACTGTGTTGAATTCAGTTTTCCTAGATCTTTCCTGCCCAGATAGTAGAATTTGGAAAGAGTCCTCTTCAGGGACTTTCTCTTGTTCATCTTTTTTCAATGCCTTAGTTCAGTATTCTTTTGTGTCTCTATTTTCCTGCTAAAGAAATCTGGTATTCTCCTGTGCTGCCAAAGGTTAGGGCTTTTTGCTGGGAAGTGTCTCTTCAAAAGACCAATACTATGGATGTACTTTAAAGAAAAAGGCCAGATTGGAGCCTTTCCCCACATGTCTGTTGCCTTGGCTTAAAAAATGGTGAGACAACGACTCATCTTTTGATTTCTTATCCTTTTGCTTATTATTTGTGGGATTGGTTCTCTTCTTTGTTTGGTTACAGATGGAACCCTTCTTCGGGTGAGCTGAACCTTTTTTACTCTACCTTCTTCCGACAACGAAGGAAAAGGGGCAGGGTAATGTGGAGAATAACAAGAACAGCCATCCTATGGTCAATTTGGGAAGAGAGAAACAATAGGATCTTCTTAGGGCAAGAAAAATCCAAGGAAGCACTTGTGGAGGTTGTCATCGACTCACCATCAAGGTTATGCACTAGCTGAAAGTACATCATCTCTTCAAGGACTTCTCCTCAGCTGACTTAATTAGAAATTGGAGTGCTATAGCTGTATCCTCGCCTTCCTCCCTTGTGATACAAGAATGTTGGGTACCACTGCCTCAGTTCAGGGTAAAACTAAACTTTTATGGAAGCTCCTTGGGTAGTCCAGGTCAGTCGGGAGTTGGGGGTGTGTACAGAAACGAGGAAAGAAAAGTAATGGCCTTCAAGGTTTGAAACTGGCGAAACAATGGGGAATGCAGCAATTAGAAGTGGAAGGAGACTCCAAGCTGGTAATAGGGTGGATGCAAGCTGGAAACCTGGGAGTGTGGTCTCTTAGACAGCCTCTAAGAGAGGTTATTAGCTTAGCAAAGGAGATTGGGGTGCATTTTAAATGGGTAAGAAGGTCAGCAAATGGAATGGCTGACACTTCAGCTAAGCAAGGAGTTACTAGGGAGGCTTTTTGGGCCTGTTTGTAAGTTTGGTAAACCTGTAATCTTTTCAATTCTCTAATGAAAGTTACCGTTTCCTATAAAAAAAAGAATACAGGATGGAAAATGAGTTTATTGTAAATAAAACTACTAATAAAATAATGAATATGTTTGATAGGAACCACCTGATTGGCCAATGATTAAAACAAAATTTGATGCCTCAGTGGTTGTCTGGTTATGCATCATTTGGATGCATGGCAAGTGGCAACAATTGAAGAATTAAAACATTAGAATGGTAAATATTACTCAAGAGCAGTTTATGTCCACTCCAAGAGCAGTTTAAAGGGGACAAGGGTCTTTTTGAGTCACCGTGAAGGCAGATGAAGAGAAAAACAGTAAACCCTTTACACTTCGAAGCTTTCTTCGAATAGTTGATCCTTCAGGTCTGCTTTGATCCGGGCTAAGTAATAAGGTTGTTCCACTGCAGAATCACAACTTCTATAGAAATTTCAGTTGGAATGGATGTTCTCACGTTCACAACTATGCAAGTGGTTGTTGTCTTGTTGACCTGCTGACCCAGGCTCTCGGCATTGTTTTAGTGGGCCCTGCGTGCAGTTCGACCCTATGGGGGCTAAAGCAACGTTTTGAAGCCCAAGGCGTGCCAATGCCATACAGCATGCCAGCAGAGGGAGATGAGAGACAAGATGTTAGACAAGCATTTGAAATAAGTAATATTAATCTTTCTAGCCTCGAACCAAGTGGATTGCAAATGCATACTTTGTTACAGTATAGGAATACTCGACTCTGCCAACTGAGATATTTCCAGCATCATACACATGTATGCCCTTTCATTTATCTGAGCGAAACCGGTTTAGACTGTTTTTGTACATCTTGATTGAGGGCCCGAAGGCCTGGGGAAGAATTGCTGACACTCTTCAGCCAGCCCCACGATAACATTCGGAGGAATATCTGACTAATGCGATTAGATGGAAATTCATTGTTGAAGATTCTTAGCTGCTCACTCCTGGCGCCGAGGCCAGGGCGTTTTGCAAACGAACTGCTGCTAGGCCTTAAAAAGGGGGATGATTAGTTCAAGAATTAACTACATAGGATTCAGATTGGGGCCATCCGGTCGCTCTAGAACTTGATCAATGTATTCAATGAACAGAATTAGCTACAGAAACAGAGGCCCTAAAGATGATAAGGGCAGCCTGTGGCTCCCGCCAATGCGGTGTCTGAGGGACAGATGTATGTCAAAATGTCAAATGGGGTGGGGACTGGGGAGCTTCTTTGGATATCCAGTTGGCTATAATGACCTGCCATGGAAGAAATTTACTATAACCTCCTCTGGTTATTTGAAGGTGAGAGCATATTGACAAGAAAATTAAACAAAATTTGGGGTACATTTGTTGCAGTAGGCCAACGAGCTGCTAGGAATGTATGAAATGTACACTTCTCCAGCTTATCCGTCCAAGTTTCAGACAATGCACCCAAACTAGCCAGCAATTTTACATGAGTACCAGCTGTCCAATCAAAACATCAAGTGTACACTTACAAGTAACCTTTAAAATATATTACACAATTTGCACAGGGGATTTTACCTAAAATAAAAGAACGTCCTCTTGAATCTTGATAAAATGGGGAATTAAACTTCCTATTTACAACATTCTTCCAATTCAGGAGGCTGCTTCAAAAATGTCATCAGCTTACTTGTGTTCATAAGACGCTTAAAGTAATGACGACTACCAAGTGGGACTCTTGTCAAGGCAAGAGCATTTTTCGTGCTGCTAGTTGATCTGTGGCTGCTGATCACATCTGAGAGGTTACACATCCCCTATCATAGCTTAGCTGCTTAGGCTGGTTCACAAGGTCGAGCAGCCCAAAGTGAACTTAGAGCCCGGAGACGTTGGAAATAATCCCCCAAGGCCAGCAGGCCCCGAGCTGCTTGGCGGGTTGTTAGGATGCGAGACATCTGCAGCAGAGTCTGCTGCCGAAGGTGGTCTGCCTGTTCAGAGAAAAGCGAATTGCAATCAATCCAATGAGCAAGTGCTAGAAACTGTTTGCATTGTCAAGGTGTACATTCCAACTGCATATTTTAGTCAATCCACAATCTGATAATTTTAGTTTGTTAATAACTATTAATAATAAAAAGATTTATTGATCTCTAAATATACAAGTGGACTGAGGTTTTGAAAGGTCAAGCTGCACCCACCTGAACATTTTTAGTAAAACTGTATGCAGCCCGTGGATGTACTATCAGTTTCCCCAAGTAGAATGCAGAACAACTTTTGCACCTATTTGATAACAAAGGAATGCCATTCATCCTATGTACCCCTAGCTTGTGAAGTCAATTCTCACTAACATGGCATCAGACAGATTGATTCATATGAAGAAGACCGGGGTGAAATAGTATTTGGAAGTGCTTTTCCACAAGCTATTTTCCTTTATTCTTCTGGAAGTCCTCAAACACTTCTTGTATGCACTTATGCCCCGTGTGTGTGTGTGTGTGTGAGAGAGAGAGAGAGAGAGAGAGAGAGGTTATCAAGTTTGTTTAAAAGGTCATCACTTTTCTTCAAGAATCTATGGGAGAGAATAGATTGATGGACCTCCTAACACACATTGGGGTTTTTGTATCGGAAGTTGAAACCTGGAAGGCAAACTGTTTTTTTAACTAAGTAGTAATAGGCTAATAGCTAAAATGTTAGTAACAGTCAAATGAGGATAGTTGTATTAGAAAGTGACCTTTTTGGTAATTAAAATATTAAGGATATTCAACTTCCTTTTTGATGGACATCCCTCAAGGGAAACCACTTGAAGACATTCCAAGCCTATTGCACACCATGAGTTTCTCAATAAATAGTTCACCCCACAAGATCTTCTGCAGTGTCTTCAGTTTTTATCTTTCTTCTATATAACTTTCATTTACTTACATGGTGAAAAAGTAATATTTTCCCTGTCATATTGAATGCTGTCTCATTAGCAGTTTTTTTTTCCTTATTCTTTCAATTTTTTTGGTTAACTTTTGCATTAGAGAAGAGAAAGGATCAAAAGGGCATGTATGCAGGTGTGCAAAAAGAACAAAAATAGCACCATCATCAAACAAAACTATGAAGGAAAAGAGCTTTTGCTGAAGGAATAAGAGATTACAACTTTTGGCAAGATCAGGATCAATGTTTCAGAAGATGACTGCATTTGGCAAAGCTCCATGACCTCCATATGCAGAAGGAATTGTAGAGGCTCAAAACTCAAAAGAATTGGAAAAAAATACAAAATGGTATAAAAGTTTAAATAAATATTCAAAAATAGAAAGTAAGATTGATTACAATCTTGCAATCAGAACTCTAATTTCAAGTAATATATGAATCCAATGTCACTCAGACGTTCTTTTTTTTTTTTTGCAATAAAAAAAGTATAAGTCCCATGTCAATGTGGAGGATACCTGTTTGGCAACACTTGCTACCTTTTTTAGGGCAACACTTGCTAACCTTCCAACCTACTTCCTCTCAGTCTTTAGGATTCCCCCAAGGGAGGCTAAGAAATTGGAAAAAGCTAACGAGGGATTTCTTGTGGGAACCAGGAGAGGCGAAGAAGGATCACCTAATCAGATGGGAGATAGTCAATAGAAGCAAAGAAGAAGGGGGCTTGGGGATAGGGAACATAGTTCAGAAGAATGAAGCTCTTTTAGGGAAGTGGCTATGGAGATGGCCTCTGGAGAGAGAGAGAGAGAGAGGTTATGGCATGAGGCGGTGTCAAGCATACACAGCTGCTCAGAGAATGGTTGGGATGTCGGGATATCTCGTCGGGCAACTCTCAAAACACCTTGGAAGGTTATACATGGTACTCTCTCTCTCTCGCTTCCTCAAGTTTATTAGGTATGAAGCTTTCTCTGGCATTTCTATTCATTTCTAGGAGGATGTTTGGGTGGGTACCCAACCTCTCGAGGATCTTTTCCCCTCTCTCTTCTCTCTCTCCCTTTACAAAAATGAGCCAATTTCCAAGTTTCTCCCTAGTCCAATACTTCCTTTGTCTTTAAGTTGGGACTTTGGCTTTTGTAGGGGATTAAGGGATGATGAGCTAGGTGGAACCTGCCGTCGGCAAACACTGTGGCTGATTCTTTGGCCAAGCAAGGGGTATCCAGGGAAGGACTTTTTTGGGCATCTTTGTAACTTATTCTAGTAAGTAGGGAAAGTTGTATCTGAATATTCTAGAGAGGTAGCAGCTCATGCCTCTCCTTGGGATGCTTGTACTTCTTACCTTTGGTATCTAATAAAATTTATTTAATTATAAAAAAAAAGGTCATGGCAATGTGACAAGTCCAATACAGATTTTTCATCAGGGGAATGTCTCTTTATGTTTAGTTTACATGGTTAAAATGAATAACTACCTCAAAAGTTATTACATTAGTTATTTCAGAATATACATCTAAGGTTCAATTCATTTTTATATGAGAATGTTGATGCGCATGTAAACTTGCAGTTATGAAGAGGATGACCAAGTACCGAGGAAAGATGATGCATGAAAAAAGTTGCTGATATTTGTTCAATGCTTGTGGAGTGGTTGATGGTGCATCCCCAGCTCAAAGATTAATGCTTGGTTCTAATCTTTTGGTCTACTTTATATTATTGTTATTAATGTTATATTTTATTGGCTTTCTATCCGTAGTAGTAGTTGTTCTCTTCTTTTCTTTAAGGCAAAATCTCCTTGTTGTATTTCTGATCCTTTTTTCTAAGAAAATTTAATTTTTAAAAAAGTAGCATGATTAGCATCAGCGAACTAGTACAGGAATGTGAAAAACTACCTACCTGATTAATGATAAAAGAAATGAACTACCTGATTCAGATAGGTGATCAATACCTGGTTCACAAAGCTCACAAGAGCTTCCAACTTCCCCATTGCTGTAGTCATCTGTGACATGTAGCTTCCTGCAACCACTGTATCAGATGCAAGAGTCTCAGATAAAGTTTGTTGCAGTTTAAGCAATCCTTGTGAAAGAGCATCTTCAGCTTGTTGTGATGACTGTTGAAGGTTATAAACATCCACAACTTGTTGTTCTGTTAATGGGTCAAGTTGGGGCGTGAGAACCTGTAATCAACACAGTGAGGGGAAAAAGAATATAAAGTTTCAGGCATTTGACAAATGAAGAAGAAATTCATTACCAGTCACAAGAAAAAAAACTGATATGATATATCAGACTTATGTATCAAAGGGCCATATCTGAAGAAATTAATAATGTGATCATCCAATGTAAGAATCCCCATTTATCTATCCAAAAAGAATGTTAAGTATCCTCATTAAGCAATATCGTTCATATGCAGTTTCCTAAAACTCAATCTATATAGTCAGGATTCCCAAGGATTAGCTTGAAAACTTGAAAAATGTTCATAAAAACTGGCCATAGAGCAGTATGCATAATAAAATTGGTTATGTCCAGGAGGATTTGGTTCATTACTTTATCCCCTTTATTACATTTTGGTCTTGATGTCTTGATATATAGATATGATCCAACTACTAATTCTGAATTTCCTCAGTGAACTCTTCATCAAACAGATTCAGGATTGAAAATCAACATAAATAAAAGGAAATTGAACCCACTTGGAAAAGTGCCTCAAGTAGATGTTCTAGCTGAAACCTTGGGCTGTAAAGTTGGGTCACTTCCCTCTAAATTTCTTTGTCTTCCTTTGGCTGCAAATTACAAATCCAAGGAACTGAATCCATTGATTGAAAGAGTCCAAAGGAAGTTGGCAGTGTGGAAAAGAAGTTGCCTATATAGAGGTGGAAAGCTCACCCTTTTTCAAAGTTCTTTTTCAAATCCTCAACTCTATTATCTCTCTTTGTTCACAGCCCTGGCCTCAATTATTAATCTGTTGGAGAAATTGACAAGGGACTTAATGTGGGATGGTCCAAATGATTCAAAGAAATTCCTTTTTTTTGGTAGGAAAAGAAATTCCATTTAGTTGCTTGAAATCAGGTTTGCATCCCTAAAGAAAGGGGTGGTATTGGCATTTGGCCTCTAAATCTTATGAATAAAGCTTTATCAGGCAAGTGACTTTAGAAATATAGTCTTGAAAAGGAAATGCCATGGAGGAAGCTGATCCATGCCAAATATGGTGGTGGTTCTAATCTGGGTTGGCATTCATTTACACCTCATCAAGCCTATAGGTCTAGCATTTGGAAAGGGGTAATGAAGATCCATGAGGATTTCTCAAATTTCATTAAGTTCAATCCTGGAAAAAGAGACAAGGGTTCTGTTGTGGAAGGATACCTGCTGCAGTTCCACTCCCTTGTGTCAATTTCGTCCCATCAGCTTTTTTTTTTTGATAATTAGCAGAAAATTTTATTAATAATAAAGAGAATAAGATACAAGAGGAGGGAGGGGTAAAATCTCTTAACCCTCCCTAAAAGTAAACTTTAAATTATAACATTGCCCAAAAAAGATTAACTCTTCCCACCCCTTGTTTGGCCAGTGAGTCTGCAAAAGAATTGGCACTCCTTTTAATCCACTGAAACTTATTTCCATGTTTTGGGATATCTGTTTAAATTTCTTTTTCTCATTTAAGTACTTCCACAAACTGATCTCTTCCTTCTGTAGCCAATTAATAGCCAGCCTAGGATCACCTTCCACCATCCGTTTTCTGATATTCAGCTGCTGGGCTCTCATTACCCCTTCAAAAACCGCCAATATTTCAGCTCTTAGAGAATCCCCCCATCCAATAGGACCAGAATACATGGCAATAATTCGTCCTTCCTCATCCCTGAACACTCCTATACCTGAAGGGCCTGGATTTCCTTCACTGCTACCGTCAAAATGCCAGAGGGGACCAAACTGGATAAGGAAAATGCTGGCCAGGTTGTATGGACACCCAAACTGAGGAGAAATGTGCATGATTCAGAGGTGCAAGAGCTGCTGTATTTGATGGAATCAATAAACAAGATTCACCCTTGTTCAGATTCAGAAGATCAGCTAGTTTGGCCTGCAGAAAAATCAGGTCAATTCTCCATATACTCTTTCTGCAAATAGTTGTTGGAGCCTTCTAGGAATAAGGTGGCCTGGAGGTGGATGGAGATCCAAAGCCCCCTCAAAGGTGATTTTTTCTTGTGGACAGCCATTCTAGACAGAATTCTCACTACAAACCATCTGATCTCTAAAGAAATGGGAGTCCCAGTCTTTGCAGCCTATGCAATCTTGAAGAAGAATCAATCCACTTGCTAATTCATTGCAAGACATCCTACAGCATCTGGATGCATTTTATTTAACTCCCTGAAATTCATTGGGTGTTTCTAAAGGATCTGAACTCCCTCATAGCATATTGGCCCACCGGTGGTTTCAGCAAAAAGGGAGCTTTGTTATGGAAATTGGTCCCTTTTGTGGTGTGCTGGGGGATTTGGCAAAAAAGCAGCAGTAGGATATTCAAAGGAGAATGCAGTGAAAGGGGGGGTTAATTGGCCATATGGAGAGATTAGTAGTTTTTAGTTCTAAAGCCTATAAGGAGCTCTAAAATCTTACTCTCTCACTTTTGTAATCACTGGTGTCAGACTATTGTGGATAATGATTTTGTTAATTTCTGCTATCTAGTTGTAAAAATTATCTTCTCTCAGGCTTCTTTTGCATGCCCTCTTTTTGTAAAGCATTTTGGGCAGGGCATATATATATATATATAAGGTTGGAAAATAAAAGCTTTATTCTCCCTAAATTATATGTTCCCTATGAAGGATGGGACATACAGAAATATGTTCCATGACATGCCAAAAGATCTATCCCCCCTGCCATAATGCATGTTCACATAATGGCAAAGGGTGACCATAGATTCAAGTGTTTCTTTTCACAAGACATCCACTACTGTAGTACCCTCATATTGAGGTGAAATATTATACTCATGATTAATAATATTTTTTAGTATTAGTAAATGAAGTGGTATTTAAGGATAGATCTAGAGATTGACACTTAAAATCGCAACAACATAATTTTACACATGGAGGGCTTCAAGTAGACAATCAAACTATGGTTACATATGCGATGCCCTCAATAAAAAATAAGATGAAATAGGAAAGAAGATCAGCTATGCAACCTGACAATTTTATCTCCTGATTGTACAAAAGAATGGTATAGATGGATTGTAGATGTAGGAGATTCAAGCTGGAAATAAATAAATCCAGTCATGAGTATGGATAACTTTCATTTGTGCCCATGTTTATATTTTGTTTAAAATGGTCATATCTAGTCTGTATGTCAAAGGTAGAATGAAGAACAAAATACATGAGAAATGGTAGGCAAAGAAAATGTGCACAAGTATTAGCACCAAAATCGAGTGATCTCTCAATAATAGTTTGAAGCCATGCATCACCTTTAGAAGCTCTGATGGACGAAACCCTCCAATCCACAAGAAAAAGCGCTCAGCTGAAGTTCTCCACATGCCAGATATTAAATAGAAGACATCAGCTTTTGCAGCAGTTGCCTTCATACGGAAAAGATCATAATAATGGTTCATGCCACTATCCACTAGAAGCCGGAGATCTATGTCAGTTACATGAGCTTGTAAAGCTGTCCTCAATTCATTAACTTGTCTACTTTGTTCTTCAACCCAATGTCCATACTCCATCTCAAATGCATCAGTGCCTACAAGTTTATCAAAATTAATATCAGGAATGTGATAAAAAAGTACCATGAAGCGATTTGAAGAAAACCCAACTGAAATATTAAATGCCAAAAAGAGGGAATGTTGAGAGTGATGACACAAAATACATAATGCAATTGGGCCCCTAACCCTATAATATGCTATGCCTTGCATGTTATGGCGATCAGGACTGCCCACTAAATTAGTCTCCCCTAACAGATTACTTGTATAAAAATTTGGAGTGCCTACACAAATTTTAATCATCATAACTTTGCAAAAATAGAGCACTATTTCACTTTAGTTAAACCCTTTTTCTACAGCAATTAGTTATGATGGTTTGTTGAAGCTACTACTCTACATTCATCCATTATAGTCGGACTGGTCCAATGGTAGTAGGCCCTGATCCTCTTGTGGTGCAATGCATTGGCAAGTTATTAGGTATTTCATATGAATACCTTATATTGCTAATAGCAGAATCATGTCCAATGTTTACTACTGAAAGTAACATTTAGAAAGTAAAAATATGACAAAAGTTGAAAATGATTACTGCTAGCACAAGAAATAACAAACCTGTGTTAACAGTTCCAGACAACCCTAGATGACTAGTATCGAATGAACCACCTATGTAAACACCCTACAGTAAGGCATTCACTGATTAGATAGGGGGAAAATAATTATATTCTTAATTAACAAAAACAATAGATACAGTAGGAGAAAACATTCACATGCCTGTTGTCTAAGTCGTTCAAGCTCCTGCTCCAATTGTGTCAGCTTCAAACGACTTGATTCCAGTTGTTGAACATATGCCTTAAAATAAAATTTGGGTCAATTTATTAGTTGCCAAGTCCTAAAGAAGATCCATAAATAGGCATTTTTGTGGGCATGCCCTTTCCCACCTTTTTCCGTAAACGGCTTTTACGAGCAGCCTCACGATTTTGTGCAAGACGCCTTAATACCTGTATACATTTAGTACATTAATGGAAAGGGAAACCAGCTTTGAACACAGTATTCCAGATCATGACACTCACTGGATATGCATCTAGAGATGTTTAGCTTATTAGCTAAACAATATTTTATTAATTTCAACATACACTGTCTTTCCCTGAAATGGATGCATTTGATGTTGTTAAGGAGAACTGTGAATGAATCCATTTTCAATAAATTCAGAAATAATTTCATTCCAATATTTTATTAACAACCACTTGACCAGAAGAAAATCCATTTAGACAGTCACCTTGTAGTCTAAGATGTAATGAAAAACCTCACTTAAATCATTTCATTTCACTCAGCATCCAAAGAGCACATGATGCACAAAGATAAGCACAAGAATTCCATCATCAGCTAATGTTCTAATGCATAATACCATAGCAACTTTACTCGTAATGAATAACCCAAAGAGGAGAGTAGGCTTTGATGTAAAATATGCCCCACTCAAAGCCAGGGGTTGTTTGATAATAGTTGAAGTGGCTGAAGTTGAATGACTCATCACTTTTTCTTTCAGTGAATAAGTTATTAAGCAGGCTGTGAGCTCCTTAATGGTCGAAGCTGCACTAGGGTTAATTACCATTCCACTGAATATTTTATTATTAATTATTTTGTCTACTAAAAGACAAAGCAATAAGGCATTCACTTCATCCACCTCAGGTATTATCAAACAACCCCTAAATAAAACATGCCAAGATGCAGCCAGGGGGTGGTCAACTGATGCATAGAAAGAAACAATTTCATGCTCCGACTTTCCCTTTCCTTTTATCATCTGTTAGAGATAGGGTATTACTTTAAGCACAACCAGGTAGCTTTGGAATTGAAGAGAAACAATACGGTCTTGACTCATCAGTATGGGTACAAGTGTGCAAGCAAGCAAACAACTTGGTGAACTTCCAAATACAGCTAACATAGGAAAACAAATTCACTTGAATAATGGGTGTAAACTGACCTCAGAATTTTCATCTTAGCTCACTATTAAGGTTATTTTGTCATTTTATAATGTATTTATGTGCATATGTCAGAATAGGATGTATATTGCAACATCACATAGGAAAAAAGAAACAGATGAAGGTGAGAGGCATCTTTTTGTTGGGAAGAATAGTAGAACATCCTCTTCCCAAATAAAAAAGGGGGAAAAGATATCCAGATCATCCAACAGATAGGTGACTCTCTATTTTGGCCATGAGATCCATTAGAAGCCAGTTCAATAAACCCTTCTACCAGACTTCTGTAAAACAAAAATGAGTAATGTAGAAATACTACAAATCCAAATGCATATGACTGAACCTTTTTTTTTTATCACTTGCATATGAATGAACATTTAGGACATAAAAGAAACAACTAACAATGAAATTTGATACAACAATTATGTCAGCTTTCTCCACTTGCTCACTAGTAGCTAAAGCTTGAAGAGGCATCAAAAGAAACAGCAGAGGTCTTGACGGAAAATGGATAGGATTAAGACTGTTCAAGTTGGCTAAGAAAAAAGGAAATAAGGATTTTTAAAATGCAAGACAAAAAACCCAAAAAAATAATTTATGTTCTTGGATTAAGAACTGGAGAAGACTAGAATTCAATAGGTTGAACATAAAGAAATTAGAAAATGATTAAGAAGGATAAATAAACAAACCTCGCCTAAGCTATAACTAGTGCTTCAACTATCCTACAAATAATATCTTGATGAGTATCAACATCAAAATAGAGCATGAAGCTACACCACACAAAAGGAATAACTTGAAATAAAATCCTTAAGTTTAACAGCAGATGTGTAATGAGTGTCAGGCACTAATTATAGAACAAAGCTGAGTCATTTCCTCCTTAGCTACAACCAATCTCTCTTGTGAATAGGAAGTACCTAAAGTCTAATTTGACATAAACAGTTCTAATAACCACTAAAAGGACTGTAAAGCAAAACAGAAAATATTCCTACGATTAAATTTAACAACCAAAAAGACTGAAAACAAAGAAGTAAACACTTGAAACAATTCAGATAAAAATGATGATGCTGTCACAGTTTTTTTTTTATCAATACCGATAGAAATTTTATTGAAAGAGGAAAAGATGTAGCTTTGGATAGTCTCGGCTACCCATTACCAAGATAGTCAATACAAGACAGGCAAACCAAGAAGTAAACTTGAATCATTACAACTGAGCCCAAAAACATTGTAAAGTAAAACAGAGTTGTATGCCCATTTTTTTGGTCATAACTTTCTAATAACCACTAAAAGGACTGTAAAGCAAAACAGAAAATATTCCTACAATTAAATATAACAACCAAAAAGACTGAAAACAGAGAAGTAAATACTAGAAACAATTCAGGTAAAAATGGAGATGCTGTCACAGAGTTGTATACTGCCCATTTTTTTGTCATAACTTTCTAAATCAAGTCCAAATGGGATGACAATGGTCCTCCCAGACATAATCAAATAGGCACTTTAATAATACTGGATCAAGACATTTGGACATGTTTTGACATAGAAATGAAATGCTACAATTGAAATGATGGGATTGAAACCATCTCCAATTTCAAGCCAGGTTGAGATACTGGTCCATGAATTCCAGCATGGCTGTTCTACTTCCCCATAGAGACTCTTCCCTAATAATGCCAAGCAATGAAGTTTGAAGGTAATTTCTAAATAATGGATAGAAAAGAGGTTTTTTTTTGCCAAGATATGAGGATATTGATCTGAGATTTGAAACATGAGGAAAGAATGATGTGGTGAGAACACAGAACCACTTTGGGGTGTTATCTAAGCTGCCACATGTAAAATTCCTGGGTTGTATAGATCCCTTTGAAAGAATTCATACTGTAAGCCCCTCCTTTGTGCATGTTCACATACAAAAACTTGTACATGCATGCATAGAGTTATTTACGTCAAGTAATCCATTTGAAGCACCTCATGATCACAGCTAAAGCAACTTGTAAATTTTATAAATTAACCTATTAAAATATCTTTTCACAACAATTTGGGGAGGCTGAGAAAAGAAGCATACAAGTAATATTTATGAAAGGGGAACATAAGGTTGTTAAAAGTTGGTTCACGCATACAAGCCTTGAGAGTGTCTTTCAAAAGGAAACAATGTTGAAGAATTTCCGAAGGTATGCAGGAACTCCATAGTTCTGAGTTTGCTATTCTGCTTTTAAATGGTAAACCACCTCCCCCCAGGAAAAGAAAAAGAACACAGTATAGGCAGAGAGTTTGAAGTACTATAGAAGAAAGACAGAAGACTAAAATGCAAAAAAGAATCTATATCTACAATAACTGTTACAGAACTGATCTGTACTGGTTTCAGCCCTAGAATAACAGAGAATAGTAGCAGGAGAGAGAGAGAGAGAGAGAGAGAGGAGAGAAAACTGGTTTGAACCTTTCTCTAGTCGGTCAGGTATTATTTATATGTTTCTGATTAAAGAACACAATGACACTTATGCCTCTAATTAAGTATGGGACATGGTACTTAAACCAGAACATAAAACACATTACACCGCGCTCTTAATATAAATGAAATGACCAAACTACCCATGTGCCAACTCTAACAATAACAATATCCAAAAGCATTCCTATCAACATTTTGATGAACTAATGAAATTACACATCACAAAAAATAGAGGATAATTCTGTAAACATTAAAATTGGAAAGAAAAATATTATCTGAGGAAACAAGGACCACAATTTGGGACTAAAACACAAGTATTTGAATTTTTTTAGAAAAGGCAAAGAAATTCATTATGACACAAGTACATTAATTACCAGATTCTTTTCAGAATTATATGCAAGCATAAATTGAATATTGATCGTCCATTAAAACAAGGAAGCTAACTACATAATAAGAACAAATAATAGCATGGAGAAGTTGTCCAAAAGTGCAATTTACATTGTATTGCGATCAGTTTACCTTATCTGGAGGTTTATTTGCTTCCTGATCATACTTTTTTGAAGATCCTATAGTTCCTTGAGAAGTATCTTCAGACTACAGACATTATATTGTACAAATAAGATACAACATAGTAATCAAAACAGCATAACCCCAAATTCCAAGGACCAAGATAGAGTAAGATTCAGTAGCTCAAACCTTATCCATCTTTGTATCCACCTCTATGATTGTGGATGTGCCTGTATTTGGACTGCAATCAGCTTTAAATGGTTCTGCCCACATGCTAATCTGGTGAACTGGCTCATATATACCCATCCTTCTTGAGGTGGCAAACTGAGTTGATGGAGAGCTCATACTCTTTGACTGGGGAAAAATGCAAAGTCAATCATTGATCTGCAGCATGGAAATCTGCAATTATGAAAAATATATTAATGGTGCTGAACTATTAGGAATATAAGAGAAGTAGCAGAGGAAGTGTGATGAGCAGCACAAAACCCTTTATTCAACCCCCACCAAGGCCTTGTCATTATGTATATGCATGTGTGCATTGACAGTATAAGAGAGATGGCAGAGGAAGTGTGATAAGCAGCATAAAATCCTTTCTTCAACCCCCACCAATGCCTTATCATTGTGTGTATGCATGTGTGCATTGACAGATGATACATTGCTATGAAGGAATAACATAAAGAAACATGAAAAAGGAATCACCAAAAACTAGGAAAATGGATATGACCAAGATGCGATATAAATAATACAATGCTGAATAATTTTCACAAGTGGCGTTCTGCCAACCAAATCAACAACCACAATCATTACAGATACCTCTAACAGTTTAATAGATTTCAGGTCACATAAAGTTTCAAAAGTTTTGATCACATGGCAGTGAAAACCATAATTTGAGTTGCAATGAAGCTCTTAAATCTTATATATGGGGACAAGATAAGATGTTTAAACTGGCAGTGACATTAATCAATTTCACAAATTTTTTTTATTGACTCGTTCATCAACCATGGATAGTTAATCTACCCATCACAGAAAATGTTTTTATTTTCTGTTATTACCACTCCTTGAATCATAAAAAAAGAAAATTATTCCAAGCTAGATTATATTGTATGACAGTTGAACACGATACTTCTAAAGTTTCATACCAAGTGCTAAGCAAATAACTCCCACTCTTTAACTGGTAACGTACAATCAAAGTGGCACCAAATACAACAACTTTTATATCCTGACTACTTGAAAAAGGATCAACTGCAACGGGATACTGCAGAGGTGAATGTTATAGTTCTGGCAAAGATGAACGAGAAGTAGAGGCTTTCCGTGAAAACAAAATGAAATGGGAAAGTACAAACTACAATTCAAGGAAAGTACAAACTACAATTCTAAAGTTTCAATTGCATCCTGACTGTTCCATTATTCACATTGTCTGAAGCTTCAAGGTTGTCTCTGTACTAAGGAAAGTAACCTGACTTGCCTCATGAGGACAGAGATTGTACAAGAAGATGAAAGATAGATGTTGGGATATAACAGAACAGTCACCAGATATCCATCCAACCACATTCTGGAAACCTTACAAATAATCCTAATACCATCCAATAGACCTTATCTAAATCAGGTTTATCTCAGCTCACAACAAAACCCGGTTTCCAAATGGAATCCAAGCATGCCAGAATCTAGTACAATTCTGGGAGTCACTCTCTTTATCCAGCAAATAACATCTCTCAGAAGCATCCAAAAGGTTCCAAAGAAACTGGCCTTTTCCACCAAACATCCAGCTAAAGAATTGCTCAAAACAGAAAAATAACTAAATTTATAAATAACAAACAAAATAACTACACAACAAAATTCAATCTACCAGGTTGCGTGGTCATGCCTGACTCAACTCAAACTGCTCAATTTCACAACAAACCAGTTTTTTCTTTCTTTTGGTCCAAACTTCAACTTCTATTTTAATGAAATAAACAAATTTTCAGAGAAAGCAGCTGTAAGTAAGCAAAACAGGATTCCCGGTAAGTGATCAAATCGCAAGGATACCATGTTCTCAAGCAAGAAGCGATGAAACAAAACATCTTTTCAACTAAGAACAAAATAGCAAAACAGTATAGTAAAGGAATTCAATTGCCAAACCTTGAAAAAACAAAAATTGAGCTCTGTTACCAACGGAACAACTCTGACTCAAAGCTCAACACCTCAAACACTAAATCGAAACCCAGTAGCAATCCAAACCTCTCTATTCCGATAAACCCCAATTCAACACTTAAGTCTCCTAGAAACCCTGTTCTCTGCAAAACCGTGCCATCCATTCCTCAGAGCAAAGAATCGAAATCAACCCAGCAGCTTAAAGAAAACGGGAAATAAATAAATTATTTTATAACTATTCTTTTTTCCGTCTGCTATAGTCAACATTTAACGTCGTCACATTTCCACTAACACGCAACTTTGAAAATGCGCACCAGGTCACACTCTCCCCCCTTAACCTACGCATCCCTTAACCTTCACCAGTCACCACCCCGCCCTTCATGCTGACGTAATTCCCCGGCGAAACCGTACACCCTCACCGGCGTCGAAAACCAACCGGAATTTTTGGGTCATTCCACCCTCTTCACCAGTCTGGCGGGTCTCCCCCCCCCTCCAACAAGCCACAAGCTTGGCGCTAGTGGCGACGAGAATCGATCCCAAGTCTCCGATAATACCAGCCATAGACCTTGCCAACTGAGCCAATTAAGTTTGTTTGATCGTCACTTCTCTCTGTTACAATAAAAAACGTTATCTCGTGCTGTTTAGAATTCTAACCACGTCGTTTTGTTTTTTACACGTCAGATCGTGTGTCATCTAGTGTGTCAGATTCCGGTAAAAAGTCGAACGTGCGTGTAATCTATCTGCTACCGAGAAGATACGGCAAGCTTTACAGTTGAGTTCACACGGGCCTGATATTAAATTACGATTTTGGGGTGTAACTGCACTAACCTACGCACAACAGTAGAAGCAAAAAAAACCAAAAGCATATTTCGCAAGTTTACATTGGAAAACACCGGATTTGTGTTTGGGAGCAAAATTAGAATAATGATGTCATAAAAGGAGGGTCTGGCATCATTGTTCAGACATCAAGTGGCTTATTTTGATGGTTCTATTATATAAAGGTAAGACAACTGGTACGACATCACATCACGGGTTTCATTATTGGTCTCTGTTAATTCAAATTTTTATTTTTCTTCCTTTAATATGTTGGCAGTTGATTCTACCTGACAGCGACCTCTCGTTGGCAACCGCCCCTTCTTATCCCTGAATGACTGCTTCCATTCCACTATTCCAGACTTCCAGCTGCTCCTAGGTCCCCCTGAATGCATAATTCTTACCGTAATCAATACGCCCGATACCCAATTCGTATGGATATATATGACCCATATTATTTTATTTGTTAGTAAAGGAATAGACTACCCCAAAGTTTTAAAACTAAAATACATGTGCATGCACTTGAATTTGTCTGGATGCATCGATATATGAATATATGATATGCCTCGTATTGTCCTTCTGCTCGAAAATATTTATGATGTACAATTTTAATGTAAGGTTTATCGGTCGATAGCATATCTTAACCCAAAGTTTCAAAGATGTTGCAAATGGTTCATGCCAAGTCATTTGAAGGAACCTCTGAGTAGTTTCAATAAATGATAAGTGAGACTTGTCATATGCATAGAAGAGAATCCATTGCAAGTTAAGACTAGAAGGGCTAAGAACAAGGACATGGGCTGGAATAGCATGAAATGATTTAATCACTTATAATTTAACAATGGATGTGACACTAAGTGGAAGAAATGGTGAAATAGGATTCATATAATTGACCCTATTTAGATCGAATAAGGTGATGATGGTGATGACCCATCCATCATCAAGATCATTATATCTACAAGCAACAAGGTTAGAGTAGGGATGTAAGCAAGCCGAGCCTACTTGCAAGCTATTCGGGCTTAGGTGCTAAATACTCGAATTTGGCTTGAAGTAATTGAGTTCGAGTCAAGTTCGAGCTTTATAATACCTTGCTCGAGTGGCTTGTGAACCAAATGGAGCTCATAATAAAATATTATTTTTCAATATATTTGTATTTATAATATAAATAAATATTAATTGCTTTGCATTTACTTATTTATAATATAGATAAATGCATTTATAACTGATTTTCATAATATATTTTTAATATACTTAATATTAATTTATTTATATTAATAAACTAAATACATAAAATTTTAGTTGAGTTTAAGCCAAATACATCAAACTTGATTGAACTCAAATCAAATTTGAGCTCTGTATTTTCGAATCGATCTCGAGCAGCCTGATACCCACAGACATTAGTTAACCCAATTGGCTATGAGCCTGTGACCTGACCCTTTTTGAGCAGGTGGTTTTAAAATGGAAAGCCAAACTTTTTTCTTATTTTGGGATGGAAGGACATCCACCATGGGTATCATGAATGAGATCTGCCATATATCATGTAATAGTATTTGATGTGGATTGATCTCTATAAAACCCACAGACATAGAAAGAGACTGTCAAGAGCAGAAACAAAGGCCACTAGTGGTACAGGAGTGAAAACAGGCTAAAGATAGATTATCTAGATCAGAAGAAGTAGTGGGTCTACACATATATTGACATATTTAATTGCTAATTAGGTAATAATGGTGGATTAAGTTGGCTAATTTGGCTTGACTCTTTTATATATAAGCCAGTCCAAGAATGTCAAAAGTTTCCGATTCAAGAATCTTTCACTCGCTCACTCACTCATGCAAACACATGTTGATGCTATTGCTACAGTATATAGCAGCAGATACCCACCGCCATCCAAGATGGGCAGCAAACACATGAATTCACTTTTGCTTTTTGTGTAGATCTGGATTCTTTGTGGCAAGGACGAGAGAGAGAGAGAGAGAGGTGAGGGCGTCAGCTTTCCCAACTCAAAACACTCACGTAATGTAAAGGAAGCCTGTACCACCTATTATTTAATTGTCACGAACAAAACACAATAGCATACTCAAGATAAGATAAGAATGTAACATTAATTAAGGTTTCAATTTGGATTTGTTTTTGCTTGACACGTAAGTAAAAGCAAAGGCGAAGTGCTTAATCCAGACCACATAATCAGACAGATTTACTTTTACTAAATATTTTTTGCTTCTACATTAAAAAAGCAAAAATAAATCCATTTTAATAGAACTTTCTTAAACTTAAAAACATTTTTCCACTACATATGGCCCACTTTCTTCCAGACTTTTATGGGTCATGCTTTAAATATAAAACACATTCACTCTCACCTGCAAATTTGCCCTGCACTTGCACCCAATTTACTAATCAATTACTATATTTTAAGCAGAAATAATATTTTATATTTAACACAATAAGAAAAATTAAATACCATCAATAACACCCGGAAAAAAAGAAGTGGTTTATCGTAAGCTAGAGAAATTAGAAGAATTAAAAATAAATAAGCGAATATAGATTCAATAATGAATATAGAATTAAACAGAACGGAATGGTAAAACAAGATTTACTTGATAAATCTTTATCAAAATTCAAAATATCGATACAATTGACCTATATTTTTTTTTTCAAAACTAGATAAGAGGGATCAATTTAAGGCCAGTCTACCTTCTGAACCACTCGCCAATTCGAAACACTCCCGACCTATTGGGACATATCAAAAAGGCTCCAATACGTGAAAAAATTTTGATCTTGGTCCTTATCATATCAAAGAAATGGAAACAAGAAAACTAGATTATATGCTTCAATTAACTCGGAGCAGGTTGGTTACTAAAGTGATTTAAGCTTCTTCTTCTTTTAAGCCAAAAAGGTAGTTTTCATGTGACAAATAAAGAAAGCTAAGTGCGTCCGAGAGCGATCTAATCTAAAATTAATCGAATTTAATAAGGTCAAGTTGCAAATGATGTACATGTATAGTTCTGGAAATTCCCCAATCATCACATTGTCTTTCAATGGTTGGTTGATTCCTCATTATTTTTTCACTTTTTTTTCTTTTCTCATTCCTCTCTCGAGTACTCCTGTTTGTACAATTATGTGCATAGGGGCATCAGCATCAGACGCTCTTCCACTTGCTCAGTTCACTCGCTTGATAGTTGGCAGTAAGTATAAAGGAATTGGTATTAATTGAAGAGCGGGTTGTAGAAACAATAATAGTGTTTCACATGAATAATAAATTCATGAGTTCCACTGTAAAAAGTGTGAGTCCAATATATTTTATTACTGACGTAGAATATTTATTGGTCTTACAGCTTGCTGAATAGAGATATTTATGATTCAGTTAACTGAATTATAAGGGGTTTTTTGAAATCAAGCCGGCATATTAGTTTTCCATATCTCTTAATCGAAACTAAACTAATACCACCAGTTAACTGGTTGATCAGTTTCGATTTTTGACCGATTTGAATATTCAGTTTTTTATATTTAAAATATATTTGTATATTTATATATAATATTCATATTATATGATATATATAGATAATATATAAGATATATTAAAAATATACATCTATTGATTGATTCGATTAACCACCATTTCTTTTCTAGGTTAACAAAAAATCAAACCAATCCTTCAATTTTTCAGAAATAACAAAACCAAACCAATCCAATCGATTCAATTAATTACATTTTTCAGTTCAATTTTCTCTGTTTGATTCGATTTTTGATTTTTCTGTTTTATATGAACACTCCCACTGCTGAACAGCCAATGGAATCAGCTAATCCTTGCTCGGCAGAGAGGCTGATAGCGAGTGGAACCATGGCGAGTGCGGAAGCGACTGTAGGATGGGGCTCCAGGCTCCGCAGAGACTGTGTGTATAAATAATTAGACAAACCACAAACAACCTGAGCCATCCAAGGTGTGGGGCCAGGGAAGTGGTGCTGGTCAGTCGTCGACACGTAAGCATGGTCTTTTCTCTTATTGGGTGGTGTTGTCAAAAGGTGCGGTTTAAAGTGGTGAGGCACTAGAGTGAGCAGTGTGGCGTCATCTATATTAATAGTAGTCGTCAAGAGCAAGAAGAGAATCTGCCGGGCCAAGCACGAGAATGTGGGGAGCCTCTCACGTGCGAGGTTCGGCCAGTTTAGTGGAGACCGTTGGTTTGAGAGTTGACGTAGCACAAGTGTCAAGTGTGTGTTGGTGTAGTTATTTTCTATCTTTTCTATCATTTTCGGAGGGGTCTTGTGTCACTGTGCTTGTTTTTTGATATAAAGGGCATGTTTGAGAGTTGAGACTGGACGTCCCTACCATGTATTTTCAGAAGACTAGAGCAAGATACCAAACACAAACAGTACGTATGACGTATCAGGTGGCCAGGAACTCACCTTTATTCGGGAATCACGAAAACACGATAGTTGGTGCCAGGGATTCAAAACGACACCCTCACTTCATGGATGTAATGGATTCGGGCTTGTCTTTTGCTAAAATTTTAGTGGTTTTAACTTTTTAGTCCACTCCTAGGGTGAGCTAAGATTTTTATGAGTGGATTTAATTGAATCCTGACCGTGGATTGATGCTAAATTCATGGGTAGTACGTGGTTTATAGAGGGGTGGGGTGGGGTGGGGGGGGGGGCTAAATTTTAATGGGTTTGGGAATTGAACCTAAAACTTGCCTAGGTTTTGGTCTAAATAAGGTTGGGTTTGGTTAGTTCAAACCCAATAT